TGCAGCAGGAAGATTAAATCAGCTTAAACCTAAAAATAAAGCATGCAGATGTTGATATTGCTGTGGCACTCCTGCGGGGAATCTTTTTTTTTTTTTTAACTTTTTAAACTCCACACTTTTTTTTTTTTTTTTAACTTTTTAAACTCCACACTTTTTTTTTTTTTTTTAACTTTTTAAACTCCACACTTTTTTTTTTTTTTTTAACTTTTTAAACTCCACACTTTTTTTTTTTTTTTTAACTTTTTAAACTCCACACTTTTTTTTTTTTTTTTAACTCATGCAACTCCACACATTTGTACTGTGTGATTTCTAAAAGCAGGAGAGATTACAGTTCTGCAAGTGTTCAGTGGTATTCTAACAGGGCAATTGTTTGCACAGTTACTGAGCAACAAAATTCGTACTTCCAGAATTTGTACAGGATTGGAACATAAGTAGACTTGGAGATTTTCTTCTTGCACATTGAGTGATACATTCCAAAGACAAACCTATCAGAGGCTGAGCACTCCTGGATACTTTCTTTGTGAAGGGTCGGGCTAACATCTGCCTGGATCCCATATCTAAGCACTGTAGAGTTAGGCTGTCATTTCTCTGAGCAAAAATAAAATAGAAAGACTTTCTAGCCAGCTCAGAGCATTTATAGGGGGACTCTAGCCAGCTCACAACTGTAGGGGAAAAAAATGCCACTCACTTTAATACAGAGCATATAGCACTTTTCTAGATCAGATCACACAGCAATAGCTAGCCAAATGCCTCTGGAAGATGTTACTAGCGTTGCAGTTCAAAGCAGCATTAGGAGGATGCAATCCTGGTACATCTGAAAGTCACCAGGTTAGGAAAGAAATGAACATTCCTTATTTGTCATCAGAAATTAATGTTCAGATAGGCAGGTTCTAATTACTCCACTTAATGGTCCATATTAACAATCGTTCACAGATTACCCCATGTGAATTTGTCTAACCCATTCTTAAAGTACCTATAGGGCTCTCTTCTTGCTGAACAAGTCCTGGCTTTCATTGCGTCGTGATAACCTGGAGACATTAGGGGCCACTGGGTCATATGGGGGGGATGTGGAATTCTGGACTGCACCCTGCAGCTGGACTGCGTTAGGCCATGCTGTCATGATGGAGAAAACATCAGAATAAATACTAAATAAATAAAGAATAAATAAAGTCCTACTAATACAGTCCTCTCCTTGCTGTGTTAGATTTCTACTTTCTATCACTATGTAGCTGTTTTGTTTTTTGGGTTTTTTTTAACTAATGGGAGCATTCAAAAATAAACCACCTCAGCACTTGCAGCTTGAGATTAGTACTACCTTATCTGCCACCATTGGTTGTTGTTACCTCATTTTGCAGCATAAACTAAAAGAAATAGTCTATACATTTTGGAGCAAGTCAATTGCTGGTTGAATAAGGGCAATCATCCTTTTGTACGTCCCGACTCTATGTGATACCTCATATTGGAAATAAGTTTAAAAACTGAACTTGGATCAAAATAAAACCCTGCTTAAATTGCACTGACTCTCCCCTGGTTATCACCTTCCCATATCTCTCCAAACACACAGAAGAAAGGAAAGCATCACTCAAAAGGGGAAGAGAAGACTGGTGTGGAGTGTTCAGGAGGATGGGAAATCAAATCTCCCGACAGCTCCAAGCTCTGGAAGCTTCGAAAGCTAAGCTGGCAAGGGCAGGTGGTTGCACAGCTGCGCCATTTGGATCATGCGCTCCCATCAATATTCATGAGGCAACCCGGCCAATCAGCAGAGTAGCTGTCATTAGTGAGCATCTGGCTAGTGAGAAGAGGTTTGTTCTGTTTTGAGTTTTTCTTTAAAGTGAACTTCTTTTGACATTTTGAGAATGTTCCTCTATAGGTTTCAAAGTCCTCTTCCCCTGCCCTCCACCTGTGTGTTTGGCTTAATCCCTTATGCCACACACAAGTCCAAAATGCCCCTGGAATGTAGAACTGCGATCTAGGAGGAGGAGGTTGTCAACCAGTATCACATCCCAATTCTTTAAAATCATATTGAGTTCCAGTTCCAGTATTTTTTTGTACTTACTTTTCTAACACAAGACCTCAGAGCTACACAAGACACTGGTGTTACATGAACCACTTCATGCATGGGTCCTTGGGGGTCTTATGGTACTGGAAGAGCATGAGAAAGATCCATTCCACAGATTCCATGTAGTTAAAACAATACAAAAGATCCTAAATCGGTTTTCCTCAGCCTGATGCCCTCCAGATATACTGGGACTACATCTCCCCAAATTCCCAGATAGTATGCTGGTTAGGAATTCCAGAGTTTGTAGTCCCAGGGCCTAGAGAGGACAGATTTAGGAAGACTGTCCAACACACACGATTAAGAGAAAAGTTCAGTAGTGAGATTTCCTGCTCAACTGAGATTTTGAAGGGACTTCATCTCCTTACTCAATTGGTCCATCATCAAGCTAAGTGTCCAAGAGTCTATCTGGTCCTAGTTCCTATCACAAAATAGGCCTGCATATTCAGCTGTGGCCCATATGCTACCTTCATCTACATCACCCAGAATATACCATTCTGTAAGCAGTGGGCAAGTCCACTGTAGAAAAATGCTTCCTAAGTAATCATTCCAATGGCCTTATCTATGGTAGCCCCACTACATGTTGTAAGGCAGGAGTGGGCAACCCCTTTCTCACAAAGCTCTTAGGCAAGAGATTTAAGTGGTAAATGCTCTCTAGCATTTCCCTGCAGCTTCGGACAGATAACAAAGACGTGACAGACAGAAAGGTATCTATCCACTTTTTGTTTCTCCAATTAATGCTTGCTTTAGCTTTGACCACCATACAGCCCCCAACAAATTATTCTTGCGGTAAATACAGTCCTTGTCTGAAAAAAAAAAGTTACCTACTTATAATATAAACTGATTATATATATAAAAATAGTTTATATTATGTATCATATTAATTATATAGCTAATATAAACTACCCATAATTATAATAGGTTATAAACATTTGCAGATTCATAAGCATTTGACTTGGAAGTAAACTTTAATGTTTGCACATTCCAGTCTTTGTTGTCCAGTACATTCATATACATGCCTTAGCACCAGGGCCAGCCCAAGGGTATATGGAACCCCTCAGCCACGTTGAGTCCTGGTGCCACCTCTGGCCAATACAAAGTTTTGCATTTTTAGAAGTTTCGGAAGGAGGGGTAGCATTGCTGCCCCCCAAGCTTTGGTGCCCCCCCAAGCTTTGGCACCCTAGGCCATGCCTACTGGGCCTTAGCCTAAAGCCTCCTTCAAGTCAACCTGTTGTAGCACAGGCATTCTTCTGTGCTGCATTTCTTTGACCAAGACAGTCTGTGGGGGGGATGTAGGCATGTATGTATGTCCAGAGCAATCCTGGGTGAAACCAAGAGCATATTTTCTACTTCTTCAGGGATGAAAGGTACCATGTTTACAGATAAACATCAAAAGCAACCAGGGACATCGCCTGGTTGCCTGGTTGCTTTTGAGTTTAGCCTAAAAGCAGGATTAAATTCACCAAACAGCGTCTCAGGAAATCACCCTTGAAAGGGGCTGTTTGTGTGGTGAATTTAATCCTGCCTGGAAGGTTTATAAGGGGCTTCTCTCTTCTTTCTTTCAGTTCGGTTATGGCTCCTCCTCAAACTCTTCCAGCTTTATGCTTTTTTCCTTTCCTTCACAGCGCAGTTACACCTTCCACTTATATCAGACTTATATCAGCTACATTCGTTTTTCTTCTCCCTTTTTCCCATATTTTTGCTAGGAGTATATGTGTGTGCACATGCAATGTTTCTGTGTGTGAGAAGAAATGGTTGAAACAGGGAATCAATGAATTATATCAATGCGGTACCTTATTTTACAGGCAACTAATTTTAAATAGTAGTTATTTATTCAAACATTCTTTGTCCTGACCATGCCATTTTATAAAGAGTGGGGCTTCTGGCAAGCATATATACACACACACATTTACAGGGGCAGGGAATCTTTGGTATTGATTTCAAGTGGATTTGGCAACTCTTGGCTGACAAGGTAGGGACACTGGGCTTTGGATCAAGTTTGGTCTGAGAAAGAGATATTCGGTCGGTCGGGCTCCTCCCCTTTGAGGACAGGGTTTATCATAAGCATAATACATTTTCCATAGGATTGACATGTTGTAATTTTATGTCAAAAGAAAATACCCTACAGATACAACTGAGGAAGCTGAGAGTGGTACTGAACCATTTTGCAACCTGTTGCAGTTTTCTCGATCACCTGCATGCTAAGAAATGTCAACCAAAGGCAAGAAACCTAGCAATTCTAGTATGGATTTTATCTTATTCTTACTGTACAAACTGTAACATCATGAAAGAAAAGGTGATGCATCTTCTCCCCAGGTCCTCATCACAAACATTGAAGAAGCTTGAGTAAATCCTCAGGTGGTTGGAGATGCAGTGAAATCAATGCTTTGGTTAAATATGTTTATACAGGTTCCATTTGGGGAAGAAGTTATTACGTGTATTAATTCAATTTTGAGACATGATTTAATATTCTCAGATGTTCGTATTCTTTTGAACTATATTCTTATGCATGGAAATTGGTATCTGGACAAACAAAGTGGATTCTCTCGTCCTGCTTATAACTAAAGACTTATTCTTCACTATTGGAAAAATAAATATATGGTCCCAGCAGCTTAAGAGTCTACAGGGTTAATATTATTAGCAACTTACAAACAAATCACTTATTGACATAGTTTAGCTGTGGATGATTATAAAGCATGGCAACCATTCAGTGAAATGCTTGTGTGTGTGTGTGTGTGTGTGTGTACCCACACACACATGAAAACATGTCCTTGTGTTTTTTTAGTTTTGTTTTTGTTTAGTTTTATCTCTTTACAGCTTTAAGTATTATTTCTTTTTTGTGTGTTCAATTAATAAAAGCAAAAATCAAATTAAAAATGACATAATCATATGGTAGGATGGGAAGAGAAGAACAGGCAATATATCAGACATTTCAAGTAATAACTATTCTGCTTTCACACACATTTTATTGAGATTGTTGTCATGAGAGAAGGGAACACAAAGAAGACAAAAAAACTTAAGTACTTTAGTTAAGCAGAAAGAAGCCACTGCCCCTAGAATGAAATTCGCCCATGGCAGAAATTGCCCTGATATTTGAGTTTCCATGCCCAGTTTAAAGGACAAGAACTGGGGGAGAGACATGGGTCTGCTATGTAGCTTCTCATATGGAGCGTGTGGAAGGGGGGGGAGAAAAAGAAAGGGATGGAGACATCTCAACCAGGCTCTTCCAGCCCTTTTGCGTCCATTGATTTCAATTCTACATTCTTTTCTGCTCAAAGATCAGGCAAGTCAAAAGAAGAAATTTGCAAACTGCAATATCTGGACTTACAGAATTGCTGGTCTGCTGCTGATATAACAATGGGGGTAAGACTGTTAAGTATGCTACCCAAAACACAGAGGTAGAGAGCTACAATTCTTTTTAGCACATATGATGTGGTTTATTACTGTCTCCCTGTCAAGTTATGTGCTGTGTCAAAGCAATGAAATAGAGCAGGAAAGACTCTTCCCAAGACGTGCACCTAACATGCAAGAAGAATACAGATCCCCATTCCTTGTTTCCCTTGTATGTTCATAATATGCCCCTCTTAGCAGCTCCAGCACTAATGAGTTGGGGAGGATGCCTGGCCATTTGTCCCAGCTGTGTGCAACTCCACCAAGGGAGCCCAGATGTGGATTTGGCATCCATGGCAAGCAGGTGGGCTTTCTGGCACCATCTAACAAAGGGACATCTTACCCCAGGCAAATAGTTCTGACACACCTACAAAATAACAGAAGACAGCTGGGGTTTGCAACACACACTACCAGTTATAGATATGGAGAATGAGGGAACAGAACATAGTCAACAAGCCAGAGCATTTTCCTATACAGGATACCTTGTCAAAATGTACAAAAAAGTTGAGGAAAACCTTGCAGTTTTGATAAGGGAGGACCAAGAGGCAAGAACAGAAAAAAACATACTGGAAAGCTACCTCTGCATTTATAAGCCTCAATTCTGATTGTTCAGACATTCTGCTGGCCCAGGCTTGTTCACACACAAGCCGCCAGTGATAATCCACACACTTTCCCCTGGAATTCTAATAATCCAAGTAATTTTCAACAAAGCGGCAAAAAGTTTATGCTGAACTTCAAGCACATCCTGAATAGACTGTTTTATTCTCACTAATTGTTGATATGGTCACTTGATGCTGTGGAACCCGCCTGCAGCAGCTCTGTGGGTTGATGGTCATCTTCCTCAGAACACGGACTCTCCAGTTCATTGTCATCTATGTTGACATCACTCCAATGAGGGAATGGTTCCATAGAGCTTTTGACAAATTGGCTCTCTCCATCAAAACTTGAAACAGACCAGGAGAGTTGGGTTTAAAGACAGGGCAACAGAAAAAGGAAGACATATTTAGTTCAAAACTGCTGGTTCATTCACAGAATTCTGCTGCTCAAGTTCCTTGGTCTGGAACCATGACCGAGTCTATGGGCTTTTTCTGATGACCAAGTGTTATGCACCAGTTCCTGAGATGGTGCCAGCATCAATACCAGCATAGTATGCTGCCCCCACAGGTGATCCCTATCCTGCACAGGCATGATGCCAGCAAATGCTACTGTCCTTATTTATGATGTATAGGATGTGTTAGGGCAAAAGATTGACAGATTCCCCCAGCTTTGTTTCTTTTAACGTCCTTTCAAATTTCATCAGTCAGCAGGAAAACATCTACTAATCACTCTCCTCAACCTCAGATGGGATGGGGGAAAAGGAGGATTTTAGCCATTTGTCAAAACTCACTTGGGTTTTATGCAGGTGTTATACACGGGCATGTGTCTACCAGATACAGATTTAGCAGTATTCCAGAAGAGCCCTAAACCCATGTTCAAAATGATCTGTATTTTCTTCTGGAATAGCACTAAATCTGTTCAGTCCCAAGGATCAGCTCAGAGACACAATGAATACAGGAGCAGAATCTGGTTTCTAAGGACCACTGCTTAAATCAGAACAACCCGTGGAAGGTAGTGCCCTGGCATCACAGGGGAATTGGCGTAACTGCAACAGCCTAAGTGGCCAATAGGCTAGAGGTTACCTGGCTGTATCATAAAATGGTAGTAAAGCACATCAGATTGTATCCATGGCAAGACCTGTTTCAGGATAAGGGGGAAAGTGCTACTTTAACAATGGTATAGTTAAGGGCAACTTAAGACTGCCACAGGTATGGGCTGGGGATCAGATGAAGGCACCATCTTGAGGATACAGAAAAGGATGTTGTCAGGGGATGCTGTTTGGGCTGTAGGTTGATGCAAATGAAGAAAGGCTCCATGTCTGGAGTGTAAATGCATCTCTAAGACTACCATGCATAACCAACTCAATGGACTTCTTAGAGAAACAAACCTCCACATTTTCAAAGGGTGTATATAAGAATCCTTTACAATATAAAAGCTGCTAGGATATGGACAGTGTGATAAAACCACTTTAACATCTGCTACTCCAAACTCTAAATGGAGACATAACTGGGGTGGGATATGGAAGAAAGAGGAACAACAATGCACTTTTCCATGTGAATTGGATACAAATGGTAGCCAAACCTGAATGTATTCAGGGATTCCATTAAAATTCCATAGAATAAAACAAGAAAAACATATCATAAATTATGGTACAAAAAAAATTAAGAATGAGAATTTGGGATGCTTTTTCTGCTAAAAATCATGTATCTGCCAAAATCATACTTTTAAAAAAGGTACGTGGAAGGAAATTAAATCCCACTACTAAGAAAGCCTGAGATGACCGTCATTCACATGACTTATACAGGTAGGATTACTATGTCTCTCATGATTTTCTGGATGATATGTAGGTTGCACCAAGCCATGCCTGCTTGATTAAAGTGGCAAGAAGTGGCCCTTGATTAAGGAGGAAGCAGAATACACAATCCTTTTGGAAACCTGACCACTAATATGCTTCTTGCCTCCCTTGAGAGAGAGAGGTCAACAGCTGAACTCATAAACAACCAATTTCCCAGCCAAATACTGATCTACCATTTCCTATTTGGTTGGGTTAAGAGAAAGAGGAGGTCAGTTACTGGATTCAGCACTTAATATGGAAATTGACAACCCTTTTGACTCTCCAGCTCACATTTAGTACTGGGTCTTGAGCCATGACGTACATGCACACTCATAAACTCGGATCATACATGCAAACATACTTCAAGCATCTACCCTCCCCATCCCATTTATACCCACGATCCTGTCATCTCCATGCAGCTGAAATTGTTATGGAGGAGAAGTTAAAACCCCACATCCAAGTGCCGTCTCCAGATTTAAAGTTGCTGCCACTTCTGACAATCTGGAAAGCTTTATTTCTACAGCTGTAGCACAATCTGTATCAGAGGTCTTGCAAACAAGGGAAGGACTGATAAAGAGAGAGGGAAGGCATGGGCAAGCATAGAGGGCAGCACAGAAGGTCCTGGGCAAGATATTCTGATTGCTGACTTCTGAACTAGTAGAAATTGGTCCATTCCATCCATTCCACTCACCTGCTGCCAAAGTCCTGCATGGCCAGCAAAGCTGAATGACGGTTCTCCTGAATCCAACCACAGTTTGACCTGGCATAGCGGAGAATGGCATCAGTGACACTCATAGGGCCCCGACCCTGCACATAAGCTTCAATTTCTGTCACAGAGAGCTGGCTCTGGAGGAAAAGGTGCAGCTGGCTATCTGAAAGGAGTACAACATTCTGTACTGTCCTAGAATATAAATGGAAAAATTGGAAGTTCTAAATACAAGAGCTACAACAAGCAGATCTTCAAAAACAGCATGTTCTACTTAAGTGCTTACTACCTTTGCTACTGAAGCACATCTGAGGCTCTTATAGACAGAATGGCTCTCAAAGCATAAAGTGAGAATCTATGGTAGAAGAAACACGCCCAACCACCCCTCTTTTTCTTTTTTAAAAATCTGCTGACAGCCCTGGCCAACCTTTTTTCATTTCCATTGTAATGTTTCCAATGAGAGGGGGAAAAGGATATGCCAATTATAGTGCTAGCATATACTTCTCCTTCTTGTATTGAGGGAAAGGGAGGAGATTTTTGTAGCAAATCTATGGCTTTCTCCATCCACACTGGCATGCCTTTCCCCACTGCTGCCAGAGCCCCAATAGCAGAAGAGCTGTGGCACCAAAGCTTTCTGCCACTGTAATAGGAATACAGTCAATTATTGACTTGTTCCTACAGCTGCAGGAGGGGAGATCAGCAATATTACTCCTAGGAAACTCTGCTAGGACCACTGAATTGTAGCTGAGACCTGTCTTTTTGGACAGACTTTCGGCTTTCCAAGATTTTCTACCTGTTCCTCAACTTTTTTGCTCTTGTCATCTTTTTGAATTTGCTTTTTTAAAAATCAACTAAGCTATAAGTTTGGTTATTTTCAGTAAGTTGGAGCTACCTTCATTATGTTATCATCTCACTCCTTTCCCCACCATTATAAACCTGGTGACAAATACTAATCAGGTGGGATCCAAAAAATCTCATACCTCCAATAATAACCCTGCTCCCCACTTTCCACTCACTTCTCCAGGAACTGTTGCAGTCCTTGTCTTCGTTTCTCAATGAATTCATCAGTGTTGCCTGCAAAGAAGGTAGATTTCCCTGGAAGCTCTGGGACAGGCCTAGAGGATATGGGGGAGAGGAGTACAAATAAATACATTTATCTGCACAGATACATACCTTTCCTTCAGGATGCATCCACAATAAAAAAGAAATAGCAAGCTTCAGCTACTCCATGAGCCTGTTCTTCACTATAAAAGGGGCACCCTCTGGAACATACCATTCTATTAATGACCTATTCCCATCAAGGGTAGGAGCTTCCAATGAAGCTTATTTAATTTAGTAGCAATGCTGACACAGAAGAATGTATCTTCTCCAAGCGTTGGATTTCTGGGTCCTTAACAGCTCTCTTTGCAAAAATTCAAATCCTCTGCAAGCTGAAGCGATACCTTGAAACAATATGGTGCTACATCAACATGTTGGATTTATGGGAAGGGTTTTTTTTGCAGGGGGGATTCCAAGATGATAGGTCAAGGTTAGCGCTCTTCTCCCCTGAAAGTTTGCAAGATGTCTTTTGCAAAAAGTCAACAAGCTCATTAAGCATTCTGTGGAAATGCATAACATTGAAAGTAAAATCCAAATTATAAAACAATTGGGCCACCTAGCCTATCGTTATCTTCTGGGACTGCCAACAGTCTTCCATAAAAGACCTCAATGCTACTAAATTTTCACTAGAGAAACCAGGGACTGACTCTAGGTCTGTCTGTATGCAAAGCACGTACTCTGACAATGAGCTGGGCTCTTTGCCAAGCTCTATTCAGCTTTAATATATAACTATATATTATAGTTCAAGTATATTTTCAACACTGACATTTCTCAAATATGTTTAGAAGTGTCACTTAGACTTACTGTCATGCAGAAAATTATATTCTAGCTTTATCCATCACTGAAACATTTTCAAATGATGTGCAAATATGTCCTTTGATGGTACAGGATGCTATTTAAAAAAAACAATCTCACACTTACACCAAGCCAGCATTTTTTTGCAGCTGTTTCTTTAACCACACAAACTCACGATATCGTCTGCGCACACAAGATGTCTTGGCTGTGAATGCTTTACTATTGGTCTGTAGAATGAGAAGAGAGACTGTTGTTGATACAAGGTTTATTCCACCAATTTTCTTCACTCCGAATCTGTTTCTAAACTGTCTCCCTCTGCTGGCTGCTGCACTGAGAATTGCTATGATAAAACAACATTTATCATAGCAATTCTTTTGGTTTTAAAAGAGTGAATCTTTGATTAAAAGCTATTTTTTTAACTTCTATTTTCTTTTTTTAATTAATTTTTATTGAAGAATTTTATGCAATAGTAAAAATGATACAAATTCAAGAAAAAGAAAAAAGAGTAAAGAAAAGTGGTGAATAGATAAACAAAAATAAAAAAGTATATTCCCTTCTTCCCCTATTTTACCCTTCTTATTTCATTTGATTTTCAAAGAGTTTCATACTGTGCAATATAAAAAGTGGGCAAGCAATAGATTACATTTGGTTGAAATTTCTAATAATAATCCAGGGAGGGGAGCATGAAACCAAAGTTCTGCCTATCCCAGTGCCCTACTGTTAGAGCTACCAGTCAGATGTTGCAGGAAAGTTCACATGCTTAACATAATAATGCTCCCTCCCATTCCTCTTTAACTACATGATAGTCTGATACTCCAATCCCTGTTTCTGCCCATATGGCCAGCCAACTTCTCTGCCTTCATTTAAACCATCCATGGCTAATTTCTGTTTCCTCAAAGCTCACTCAGAAGGCAATGCGTGTGTGCATCAAGCCCCATTCCCTTTTTTTGTGGTTCCTGGTACTCTCATGACTACATTGCTGAAAATTAGCAGCTAAATGCCAAAAAAAATCATAGCACTGGTTTATGATTTTCAATGGGAACCAAGGAAAATAGTTGCACTATGCCTCAAGTAGGCATAGCGTATCTGCAAAGGTAATAATCCCTCCCAAATGGGGGAAAAGAGAAATGGATCAAAAAAATGTGTCTCTCCACCCCAACTTGTAGCTCTCAACCACTGAAAATAATTTTTAAAAAACAATAACGAAGGTTGCATAGCCCAGCCCAGGAACTAGCAAGTTTCAAATCCATTCAGTTTGTGAGTTTTGTTCTTTCTCCTAAGCAGTTCCCTTGAATGCTTAAAAGACGGGGTGAAGTCTGCAAAGAAACAATCAGCCAGGATGGGGATAGTCTGGCAACCGAGTCTTCTGAAGAATGGTATGTTTAGCCTGGACAATAGAAAGTTAAAGGGAGTCATGATATTACAGGTGAAACTTGAAAAATTAGAATATTGTGCAAATGTTCATTTCTGTCAGTACGGCAACTCTAAAGGTGAAACCAATATGAGATAGACGCATTACATGCAAAGCGAGATATGTCAAGCCTTACTTTGGTATAATTGTGATGACCCTAACCCTATCCTAAAAAACTAACCAATTCGGTCCTCTGACCTTCCAGGATGCAGCCGTCATCATTACGGCACAGAGAATCAGCACAGCACAGACCCTGGGTGACAAACAATTGGGAACTACTTTTTGCCTAGTGCAAAGTATGTTTATGGCACAGCAATGAAGTCGGGATTAATACTACTGGAAGCTGAAGTCCACACATCTTAAAGTTGCTGAGGCTTAGAAACACTGCCCTAGAGAGAAGTGATATCCACTTGCTTGTACAGCATAACAGTTTGCAGAAGGAAAGAAATAACAGGGAATTCCCACTGCTTCTTGCTACCTCCATGCCAAATGTCAGGTAATACCATGACTTTTCCACAGAAGTAAAAAATCAAGCACAAGTTTCTTTTCCATATCAGTAAAACGCAAGCAGCTGTTTGTTTATTGCCAGGTACTCTGCAGAGCATGCAGGAAAATGATTTTTCAACTTACTGCTGTTTTTTCCAGTGTTCCTATACTTACATGGAGAAATATTTTGTAGTCCACATAAGAATTCCATGAGCCCTCATTGTGTATTCGAGGATCTTGGACACGCACAGTAGTCAGCTCCTGGGTTCAGACAGAAGAAAAAAACGCATCTTTAGAGGCCACTTTTCGTAACACTCAGAGACTGCCCCCTTTCACAGCCACAAGAATTGATTACATAAATAGCTTATTATGATCGTGGAAAAGCCTTGCTACATTAAGACCAACAGGCTATAATGGGACTCAGATACATATATTCCATGGTTCTCAAGCATGGGATGAAAGGAGCAAATATAGGAAGTCTAATAACTATGAGAAAAACATTAATTTGCTTTTCTAATAGTTATTATGGGGAAACTATGACCCGCCAAGTGTCATTAGGATTTCTACTCCCATCCAATCCTAGGTAGCAAGGCCAATGATCAGAGAGGATGAAGGCCACCATATTTGGAGGACCACTCCTAGCCTAATTAAACTCATGCAAGCCAGAGACAGCTAACAAAAAGTTAATTAAGTTATTACATGAAGATGAAGTTCTTGAATCCTAAACATACTTGCCAAGCACTATAACGGGATGACCGACCATACTATTATAGAGGTCTGTATGTTTGTTTTCATTATTAATCAGACTATAAATATTAATGGTCTATGTTCCTGCTTCACTTCATTTGGAAGACCTGGGGAGCAAGGAAAGCAGAACTTGAATCTGCTGCCTCAGGGACATAAACAGAGGAAGAATGCAGAGTTCAGCCCAGCCATTGCCAAACTTATATCCTTCAGATGTATCAGGACTACAACACCCAAAATCCTCAGCCAGCTTCTGGAAGTTGCAGGGCAAGCACATCTAAAGGGTGAGAGGATGTAGAAAGCTCATCCAACCCATAAGCTATCCAAAACAAACATTAAAAAGGGGAAACCCTGTTCAATAACACAGGGAGAAGGTGATTTCCACCATGTTGCAGGTTTCTGTCATTGGGCCTGGAGTAAAAGACAGCCACAACCACAGATGTAAATATGTGCTATAGGATTGGCAGACAGGCTAAACAGCATGTCTTATTCAAAATATCTCACTGCAGTCTCACGTATACTTAGGTACTTTATCTCTAGGGGCATTTGCATAATTCAACTTTCTGCCACCATGTAAATCAGTGCACAGGCACACAGGAGTAGGTGGGAGGAGCTTCTGGGGGGTTCTCTCTCAAACTGTGGGTTCTGAAATTTTCTATGTCTCTGCACCAAATTTTTCTCACTCCAAGTTACTTGCTTTAAGCATTAAAATAGGAAACAATGCTTGGAAATAAAGTGTTCTCACACTTGGGAACAACCTGTGCCAATGTTGCTTTAGCCTCCATTCTTTGACCATATTCAGGTCAAACATGGAGTCTGCCAGAAGCCATTTTCCTTCTTGGAAGCTGACTGTAGATATTTTTAGCATGGGTGAAATAGAGAATTTTTAATGTGGTCATGTCTATTAAGGCCAGAAGCCTTACCTCTTCTTCTTGATATTCTAACATCCTATTTCCACAACTCAGAGGAAAGCATCTGTGTAGGGCAAGAAAAAGGCACAGAGTTAACACCTGAGCATTAGTTGTCCATCAACTATTTGCATTTCATCAACCCGTTTACTAAATAAAATCAGGTCCTGCTCTGGAGGTGGAGTAATGGGCAGGAAATGGAGTATTTCAGACAAAAGTTAGTTTCTAAACAGAAAAACAAGGCTATATTCAGGCTATGTTCCAGAGTTGTCCAATAAAGAAGAGTTAGTCCACCCTCTTTTACTGAAGGGAGGATAGGACAAGGGGATGTCAGCTTGTGCTTAGCAAATATAAATTCCTTTTGACAAGTTCAGAAGAAAAGTGGCCAGTTATGAACCAGTGGCAACTTAGATGTTGCTGAATAACAGCTCCCAGCATTCCTTACCATTGGCCACACTGACTGGGACTAGTGAGAATTGGAATCCAACAAATATCTAGAGGACCACAATCTCCTTCTCTTGTTCTAAAGTAATCTCTTTCCTTTATCTTCACCCCACTTCCCTGCATATCTTTCTTTTTAATTGGAAAGCCAGACAGCAATGCCTGGATCTAATTTTTGCCACTTTGGAAGACAATAGAACTCTGAAAAACAG